GCACACATATATATACATGGTGCAGACAGGCAAACTCACACTTGAGTATTTATGCATATATGGACTCGCTACGAGGATAATTGGTGTCCACACGACTCGCTTTTGCACCGGGTCTCTGAAAAAAAGGAGGGCTGGCGCAAACAAAATCCTCACTTTTGCGGACCGAAAGAAGCTACGCCTCAGTCTCAGGGTTTGGACGGCACATCTGGTCGGCTTGGCAACAATAGACTTGTATTCACGAGAAAGCGGTTTTCACTTGGTTTCGGGATTCAACTTCAACTCAGACCGAGACCGCAGGCCTGCAGGACGTCTTGCGAAAAGGAGATAAGCCCGAGTCTCGATGAGGTGTGCGGTGCGGCTTAGAAGTCGAGTCTCTGTAATGAGATTCTCTCTGATTGGTACCTCAGCAGAGTTGGAAGAATGTGTCATTTTCGGTCACAAAATGACATACACTAAACACTGAGCCGTCGATAGGCAGATTCTTGCCCTGTCTGAGAATGGCGATGCAAATGAACCGTTCGACAAGTACTAACTTGTTGTCAGGGCGACATTATGAGAGAGGGATCCACGGTGGATCTCGACCAAAAAAAGGCTAGTCCTCCAACCACCCCTCCGGTCCCGGACTTCGATAGCCGGTTCCATTAGTACAGATTCTCATTAAGGCGCTGATAGGAAGGATGAAGTAAATTAATGTTTTATGAGATGTATTCACCCAATTTCGTTTAAGGTGATGAGGGACTGGCGCGAAAAATAAAGTTACGTAGTCGATTGTTATAGCAAATATACATTTGCTTCACCAAAGAATGTGATAGGGGAAAAGGCCTGGCCTTCCTTGAAATTCACATTTGCCCCCAATGTTGCCGAGTGGTTAACACGTCAAGCTCCCATTCTGCACTGTCACGGTTCGACTCCCGCTGAGGGTGTTGATAAGACCGATGCGAGGTCGAAACTGCAGTCCATCTCATCTTGGACGAGAACAACTTTTGGGAAAGCAAGGCTATGTGAAATTTAATCGAAACGTCAGCTCTACTCCTAGCGTTGTGGGAAATTTCTTCTACCAGTCCCTCATCACCTCAAACGAAATTGGGTGAATACATCACATATTACCGATTTACTGTTAGTCTCGAAACCATAATTAAATGTGAAAGATAAATTAATGCTCTAGACAAGTGCGAATTGTTTGCTGCAGAGGCAAAGTGCATCAAATGAAAGGTGAGTATGCGATTGGGGCTGTTGGCGAACGCGAAAAGCAGACGTTCTTCAATCAACTTGTCGCTACGACACAAGCGTTGCCGACAACCTCAGCTTGTGGAGCGAGAAGAGAGAAAGACAAAGCATCAACCGGTACTATTGCTAAAGCACAGCTTTCTGACACGACTGGATGTTCTTCTGTATGTATGTGTGTGTATGTGTATGTGCATGTGTGGGTAGCAGTGGCCACATGACTTGCAC